AGACTTGGACAAGCTGACTAGGAAATGAACAGAAGGAAAGACAAAGACTTCTTCAGGTGGGATGCTGGGCAAGGATGCTGTCACGTAGGAGGCAAAGAAATCTCGCTGTGGCTTGGAGGTGTTGCTTGGATATGTGTCTGCTAACGAGCCCTGAGGTCTGTCCTAGTAAACATGTGCTTGGGAATACTGTCAGAAGGGAACTAGTCCAGAGCTGAGCATCTGCGAGGGTCTGGTACTCCTACTGTACCCTCACCTCCGAGAAGGGCAGATGGAAACTATTCTTTATCTGCAACTGCATTAGACAGATGAGCCACTCAAATGGATGCTGAAAACTGTTCTTTCTTCCTGCCTCCCCAAGAAAAAAACCAATCAGAAGAGGCTGAAGCGAACATCTTCCTCCCTTCTAGACCTTGAGAACAAGCAAAGAAACACACAGGGTCGTTTGGCTCTGAAGGCTGAGGGATGCGAGTGCATCTCTGCAGAGCCTGCGGGGAGCGTGAGTCACATGGATTGCCTCGGCAGATCCGGGCTGACAGCATCTGCCAAATCACTGCCTCGCATGCACTCAAAGGGCAGGAATAAACTGGGAAGCAGGAGGGGCCTCGGGAGGTAGGGCTGTGGGCCGGGGTTATTTCAGCCTTTGTGTTTCTAGTTCAGCAGCACTGGCCAGGCCAGTGTTGCCTCAGCTGTGTCCAAGCCCCTTCCTCCACAAGAGCAAGCAGGTCTGTGGGTCCTGACAGGGACCATGCATTGGAGGTGGATCCAAAGGACTGAAAGACATACTTTGTCCCTTCTGCAGCTCAGAAACATGGGGAAGAGTAGTACCAGAAAGACCAACCTGTTAAGAAAAAACAGTGCTTCTCTTTTTTTTTTCTAAACTTTTGCTTTCTGTGATGTTTCCACATCACTGCACAGAGATCTTGTTGTTATTGTCTTTTAAGTATTGCCATGTATGTCTAAGTCCTTCCATCAGCTCAGGGCTACTCCGATGAGCTGTCACCACAAGATAAAATACATCTGCAGCAGTGCTCGTGGCTTTGTGGAGTTGGATATCACCATGGTTTGTGTTGTGCAGAGGCTTTATTCCATTGCATAGCGTAGATACACTCTCATCACACCTAGCAAAGGGGAAAGTCCTTAGTGCCTCCTGAGAAGGACCAGTATGCATGCAGCACAGACTGTAAAGCCCCGAGATGCCAGAAGGAAGGGACCACAAAAAAGTGGTCTGATAAAGACACCTGGCTTACCATCTCTGTCTTCAGTGTCTCATAGGAGCATTGCTGCCACAGTCTTACCTGCTGCACAGGCTGTGAAGAGAGTGTGTTTTGTCAGAAAGGGAACATATGGTTGTGTTTCCGTAGCCCACGCTTGGGCAAGATGTTACTGCAGTTCACTCCAGCTGGAGACTCATCAGGTACATTTACACCGATACTTATGTTTTGTGTGAGCTTGTTTTATCTGGTCTCAACCTCCACCTCTCTACTGTCTTGAAACCCACACTGAAGCTTTCCGTATTGCACTCAACTGGAAAGCAAAGCCCATATAGGACGTGCTCTGTGAATGACTTTTCTGACTCTTTCCATCAGGGTTTTCCATCAGGGCAGTCTGTGCGTCTAGGGAGCAAAGAAGTTGCTGTGTGAAACGATATAGTCGGGAGAGCTGCCACGGAAAAGAGATTTATGAGATCGGAGAATAGAGTGGTTTGCACTTGCAGGAGAGTTTCGAGTAAGGCAGGGTCATGACTGCTGAGATCAGACCTACTGAGGAAATGTGCAGTGTTGAGCAAGGCTTATCATTTTTGTTACTCCCATCCTGATGGGAGAACTGGAAGCTGTGCATTTGTGGACATGGCTGTGCACTTGCAGGCATCTCAGTGGTACCACTACATCTGCTGTAACGCCAACTAGGCCACCCGGAAATGGGTGAAGGGTCCTTGTGCATCGATGGCAGGAGTGTGAACCTGACGATGCTCTACAGGTTGGTCCCAGATGTGAGTGGGGACGCAGGCTTTAGTCACTTGTGGGGACTCAGCCTGCCTCTTCCCACCCTTGGAAGGTTGCAGAACTGGGACTACACATCCACATCATGCCACTCCTCTCCCCATGAGAGGACCAACCTTGTTTGGAGACTGCACTGCCACCTGCTAGCATGAGATGAAGGCTGTGCTGGGGCAGGCACGCTGCCTCCAGGCTTTGACAGCTGCAGGCAGCACTTTCAGGCAGCAGAGGCATCTCCATGCTCTCTGAGCCACCAGTGTGGGCATTCTCTGCTACCCATGCATTTCATCCTGGACCTTCATTCATTGATAGATGCTGTACTGGAGACCAGGTAGACCCTATTAGTTTGTTGGTTTGGTTTTTTTTTTTGTCAGGCCAGTCCTCTCACTGAAATAGCCAAGGCTTGTGATTTTAGGTGCGGAGGTAGTTTGTTCAGCTGCCGGAACATCAGGTGAACAGCTGAACTGCTGGAGATGGCTGCAGTGCCAGAGGAGCTCATGACAGTTGCTCACCCAGAGTGCTGCTTTGTCCCACCTGGGAATCAGGTGGCACAGGATAATCCCTCTGCTCCAGACACTCATGTGGACAGAAAGAGGAGCAGGCTTGGGTACTCAAGCAGCTCTTTAAGGAGAAGGGTCTGCACTGCAGGAGCAGGGGCTGGTTTTAGTCACTTTGTCATGATCATTATATTGACCACCACTGACCTTGCCTTCATTTTACCTCCTACATCTCTCAAAACTGGCCTGTCCTTAAGCCCTAATGATGCTCTGTTTAGCAGACTTATGGGCCTCAGCTGAATCCCAAGGTATGCTGGAGGTTCAGAGGCAGGACAGGAGCAGGAGGAGATACTGCAGGCACTGGGATATGAATCAAGGCTTTTCCAAACCTATTGTAGTTTTATGTGCACAGGTACAAGCTATGGGAAGAAAAATGACATTAACACCGGCCTTCATCATGAGGATGATGGTGGAGAAGCAGGCATGACACCGGTGGTAACCCACACCTGCTGCCACAGCTGCTGGGGCTGTGTCTCCCCTCCAGGGCAGCGATGGGGTTGTGGAGGGGAAGATTTCCTCCAGGTCACAGGTGTTGTCTGTGCCGTTGTTGCCAACTGTCTTTGTCAGTAACGGCGTGATGCTGGTGTGACTGCTACAGAGAAACCCCCTCCTCCAGCACCAGTGTCCTGTGGGGAGGGTCTCTGCCACAGGGAGCCATTCATACAGCCCAGTGCCCCTTTCTGCCTCTCTCCAGCAAGCCCAGTGCAGGTGAACAAGCCTGGACAGCAGCCAGTGACAGCTGGAGGACCTCAAGGCCTTTTTGACCTGCCACTAGCAGACCCGAGAATAACTTCTATAAACACAAGGCTTCTGTGTACATATCTTAACAGTGTTTTCCTTTCAGGATATTCTGGCACCTCTGCAACACACTTTTACTTCCATCCAAATTTCCTCTGCTTTTCACTCCCTCTCCCTATCAGGCTAATAAAGAATCATTTTGGTTAGAACCATTTTGGTGGCTTTCTCAGAAGCGTCTGTTCTCTGCAGACTGTGGGCTTGCTCAGTCTGAGGCTGGTTTATTCTTCTAGGAAATTACTTTGCCACCCCCTTCCCAAACTTACCTCCTAGATCAACATTCACAGCTTCTTCAGGCTCTGATTTCCAGAAGTTATTTGTGTCCTGAACCACTTTCCTGACAAAATTAGTCCTAAATTACCCCAGTGCTCATGGCATTTTCACTTATCCAGTGGTTTGTTGTGGGAGAGGTGAAGACTACAGGTTGAAGGATGGATCTGGGGTGGGATAGTGTAGGGCTCAGACTTCCCAGGAAAGACAAGTGAGGGTGGACAGGTTTGATGGAGAGCAGAGGGCTGGTGTGTTAAGGAATGCTCAGGGCAATGAGGGAGGTGGGAGATAGTGAGAATCAAGATTCCACACCCTAGCAGGAAAGAAAGAAATGTGAATTTGAACCAGATAAGAGTGCCTCAGAAGAAAAAAATTAGTCCAGCTAGCAAAAAGCCACCCCAACCCCAAAGTAATTTATTGTAGCTCAGGCAGATAGAAGAAGCACATAAAATTGGTTCCACAAGAAGGTCAAATTAAGTACAAGAGCAAAATACAAGCATATACATATATATATATCTATTTTCTGTTCAGTGTCTCTCATTATAGAACAGGGCATCAATGATAACTGAAGGGTTTCTTGTCTTGTCTATTGAATCCCAGCCACAAAATATCCCTTCATGGCATTGCACTGGGGGAATGATGAAAGAATTAAAAATTACATCAGAACAGCAGAATAGGAGACAGATTCACAGAGCACTGTGGGCCAGCAGGTGTTCAGGTGTAGGCAGAGACTTTATCAGTCTTTCTGGCTCCAGCGCTGCAATACTACTTATTCAGCCGGCTGCAGGAGAAAAGTGTCATGTAAGTATCAGTCCTGTAGAGGTGAAAGGATTCACTTGGATACCTCAAAGCCAGCCAAATCCCCATTTTTTTGCATAGCGTAGAGAATGACTGCCCACCTCTACAGCTGAGGATGAAAATAGTTACTTGTGCATCCACATGGCTGTGGTTTGGGTTTCATTTGCACTGAGCTGCTTACTTGGCAAACAGGGTTAAAAACCAGCTGTATCAGCACTTGTATTGGACAGATTTATCTACTTTTTGATGTAGCTCTATGGGCTTTGTCCTCTCCTTGTGGGGATTATTTTTTAACCGTGATAAAAGGTAGGTGAAAATGAGGTGAATCCTTTGACATGTTATGCAGTCCAATTCTTCACCACATAATCAACATAGCTATGAAATAGTATTTGCCAATAAACGTTCTCACTGAATTATCAGTGACATTGAAAAAAAAAAAGGTGATGTTATCAGTTTGTCACTGTCACCAGTGAAAATTCAGAAGTCGAGTTCTGTACCTATACCTTCATTGAACTTGTTCTCCCTGCTCGACCATCCAGCTTCCCTGTCTTTGCCCATTCTGGGTGCCCTCATTGCCACTTACTGTTGACACTGACATGTCTTGTTTTCCAGCAAATATTGTCTTGCTCGTATCATCCTTTTTGCACGTTGCTGCCAGGAGAGAAGGGATAAATAATGATTGGATATTTTTATGCTTCAGATGCTTTCTTCTGAAGGGATAGAAAGGTACTGTTTGGCATCTCCAGACTGCCAATCTCTAACCTTTCAGTCTCAGGATTGACCCATTAGATAATGGGTCTGTTCTGCCCTGCACCCAGACAGAAAATCAGACTCCTCCTGTGGTTTGGGGAGACTGTCATCTCTTCACTTTTCACAAGGACTCTCTGCACTTACCCTTCTCTGCTGCCACCTTAGACCACTTACGATGCACAGGCACGCAAGGCCAAATACCAGTAGGCTGCCTCCAACACCTGCTCCAATTGCCACATAGCTAATCCAAACAGGAGCTTCCTCTGTGAAAGAAGAATAGTATTCACACACAGAAACAAAGAGAATTTTAAGGCTTTTGGGTGGAGGCGGGAATACAATGCTGATTTTCATACCCACGGTGTAATTAAGGCTGATCTTCCTGTCATCATCTACTATGAGGTGACAGTTCCACAGTCCCGCAGTACTGACATTCACCTCCACCTTTACTTCCTGCTGCTTTGACATCTTGACATCCTTCTGAGTCCCATTCACACGTTCCCAGCACAAGTGGGCCTTGGGTGGGAGGGGACTAGAGACCTGGCAGATCAGGGTCACTTTGGCCCCCCTAAGGAGTGGCCCAACAGGGTTAGCTGAGACTGTAAAGGTAAGAAAGGGACATGTGAGTGAGAAGATGGGAAGATGGGTCCGCCCATACTCTTGTGGCTTCCAGGTTTCTGCAACTTCTCATCTCTTGACCCACTTCTCTTTCTCTCACCTTTCATCACCACCAGCTCTATCTTGCTCTGCACATATTTTCCGTTGTATTCCAGCTGGCACTGATACTGCCCAGAGTTGTTGAACTGGACTTTGGGGAGGTCTTCTTTCACGACACTTCCAGTTAAGCAGTCGCTGCTTTCAGTCTTATGCTGTTTTCCTTGCTCAGGGACATTGAATTCACATAACTTACGACTGGTTACACTTTCCTGTTGTTTCTGGTTCACTTGTCCTGTGAAACCTTTTTCCCATTTTATATTCTGGAAGTTCAGATGCCATGCCAAGATGACGGTGGTATCAATAGTTGCATACTTTATTTCCAAATCTGGATTCTGAAAACCTGAATTCAGAAGACAAGAAGAATACAGAGGCAGGGAAAACCATGGCTACACTTCCATATGTCCACCTTCGATCTGGAGAGATGTGTGTTGTGCTCAACTGAAAGAGGACTTGGATAAACGCCACGAGATAGCCCAGGAAGAATAAACAGTGTCTGGGAATCAGTTTAAAGAGCAAACACTCCCAAGGTCATCAGAACTGAAAAGCATAGACCCCAAGGAGAGGAGGATCCTCCCCTCACCAAGCCTGGAGATGAAAACAGGAGCAAGTGTGGAACAGTACTTAAGCAGTAGAGCAATCCCCAAGCTGCAGTGTTGGAAGCCCTGGGAAATGGACCCTAGAACACCATTGCTTGAGATGCTGGAAAGTAAAAGCTCAGCTCATGAGCTGAAGGGAGCACTGGCTCCTGCGGCTGTGAGTTGCATTTCTATTATCACATACCTAATACTTTCACATCAAAGGAGATATTCTGATTAATCAATGGAGAATCTGAATGGATGTGACACACCCAGGTGCCGTTGTCTGTAGTCTTCAGTTTCTCTAACTCTAGCATATATTCTTGACTGCCCTTGTTTTGTAAGAGTTTTGGTCTTACTATGTCATTGCTACTGTTGAACAATGTGATGCTGAGATCATGCAGAGGATGGGATGAGTTTTGCATTAAGGTCAGCTTGAGGGTGTCATTTGGCAGGAAGTGCCCATCCGAAGAGATTGTCACTGTAAAAAGGAAAAGCACAGCCAGTAAGTTAACTCCTCTTCTTGCAAGAGAGGGAAACATCACAGGAAAGAGAATATGGAGATTGTGTGCCCTAGAGATGCAGGAGAAATGAACTTTGATAGCCCAGGCCAGAAGAAATGGCAGCTGAATAAGGAATCCCAGCAGAGACGTCTCTCCGAGCTCTACTGTTCACTCCCCGCTCCCGTCCTCATGCATAAAAGTCTTCTAATCACTCACATTTAAAGACATGCAGTGAGATACTGACTGTGTGAGAGTCGTATTCACAGGTGTAGATGCCAGCATCGGAGAGGCTTAGGTTCGACACCTTCAGGTGTTTGGTTGATAGGTTGATTTCAGATCGATGGGCCATGGGAGCTCTGCCTTTTGAAAAAGTAAGCTTGGTTAAGAGAGAAGAGGTTTCTCAGCCATATACTGGGGAGAAGGGATGGTGGATCAGAAGCCTTACCTTTCAAATAGCCACCTTTAAGCAACCTTATAACAGATTTATAGTACTTCCAGGTCACACCTGTTTTGTCAGATATGCCTCTGCAGTTGAGGATCACATCCTGTCCTGCGATCCCAATCTGTACTTCGTTCTCCTGAGCCGTAATGGGGATCAGACCTGAAAGTCAATACCCACCAAGGAAGGCATGCATTCACTTTCTGAAGAGTGGTTCAGTGAACACTTCCCACCCCTCCAGAAAGACACATATTCTTCTCCTCCCTTCCCTAGGTATTGGGCAGATTATCCTCAATTTCTGAATTTTTCACTCCTTTGTCTCATCAATCAATCAATCAACCTCTTTCAGGTCCATAGCTTTTCTCACCTTCACTTTGGGCTCTTTACATGGTTAATGGGTATTCTGTTTCACATACATTCAGAAACAGGAAAATACCAGCGGCTGAGGTGGATTCACCATCATTCGCAATTTTGAGACGTCAACAATTTTACTGAAACAATCTTTTCCCACTCAACAAGATTTAGTTGTCCCACTGGTACCAAAGGCATGACAGCATTTTCCTGCCCTTCTTCACTCTCTAGTCAAGACTTGAGGCAGCACAGGCAAATTCACTCACCCCTTCTTCCAATTATTGTATGGAGAAAGGTGGAAAGCCCAGGAAAATGAAAGGATAAAGGAAAAAAGAAAGAAGCCTGGCCTAACATCAGGTTCCTGTTCTTGGGGTGAGGGTTACCAGACAATAAAAATGTATAAGGTTGAAGAAACATTATGAGTGGTTTCTTGGAAGAGCTTTCTTTCCTTCACTGTAAAGAGGATTTCTGCAGACCATGAGAAGGACATTGAGTGACAGAGGCATGACTGGGAATAAGGGTTGTGGTCTCCTGCCTCACTACTGGTAAGTTCTCAGGGATGCCTAACCTGCAGATCACCCAGAAAATAAAAAGTTACGAGTTTAACAGAGAGGTTTCCACAAGTTACATGTTCCTCCAAGGGGACAGGTAATCTGCAACATTGCTAACACAGATTTTTAGTAGTCAGAAAATTATGATTATTTTGTCTTAACCTGTAAAAATTACAAATGTTACTAATAAGAGTTGATATCTTTTGCTTTGGTTTTGGTTGTAGGTGCATAAAAGATTTCCAATCTTTCCTCTGCAACCAGAAGAATCAAAGCTGAGCATCTGAGAAATGCAGGCTTGGCCTTCTTCAGTCACTTTCCTTTCTTAGTAAATGAGCACTAAAACACCAACCAAACCTCGTAATATTAGCAGTCAAACTAAGCAGGATGGGAGCATCATGTTTATTTTTGACCAGGCAGTTGAAGGCAGTGTGGAGGGCGTTATGTCCCACTCTCTGCTCAGTGTGCACCCTGGCTTTCACAGGAACTCCTCTCCTGCATCTCTACAGGGCAGCTCCCCAAACATGGTGATGCTCCAGGCACCCTGGTTGTGGCTGGCAGGCTCAGCAGGCAGACTGGGGCCCAAAGCTTGAGTTGCCTCTGAAATAACAGGAGTTGTGGATGCAAGGAGCCTCTCAGCCTCTAGTCCTTCTCTCCTGATTTCCAGCACGTGGCCGTGCAGAGAGCAGGGCAGTACAGGGGTGGGCCAGACAAGCTGAGAAGGCAGCTGTTACAGCTTCATGGCTGGAATGACCCTGCTCTAAACTATGTGAGGTACGTTACATGGCAAATCAGGAGGAATCTAAAAACACCCCAAATCTTGTGAGACTTGTGGAAAGGCTAAAAGAACTGGCAGGGTTCATTGAGCTGAGGACTCACCCAGATGCAGAAGCAAGAAGATGGCAAATGCGCTGCTCACCACCGTGCCGTACAACTCCATTGCTTCGAGAGCGCTCCTCCTGGCTGCACACTGCAGGCCTGAAAATGCTGTTGTTGCCAAGGTGTAAGAGACTGTGTTAAAATGTTTTTTCTCAACCTTGCTGAAATTCCCCGCAAAGAAGAGACTGTGTTAAATGTTTGTATCACCCTTGCTGAAATTCGTTGCGAAGAAACTTCAAGGCTGCTGTTTGAAAGCTTGGACCACTGATAAGTCCTCAGTAACAACTTAAGGGCCCAGCCCAGGTAAGCGACGGGGCTCAAAGTCCTAAACAACAACTTCTGGGCCCCGCTCAACTGCTGATACGGCGGCTGTCTTGCAAGGCCACCGGTGTGCAAGCCCACTGGTGTAACTGCTGGTAAGGCAGCTGTCCTGCAAGCACAAAAGCCCAACGGCGTGTAAGCCCAAAGGTGTGCAAGCTGTCAAGTCATATTACATCTGTAAAATGTGCCCTCTGGACACCTATGCATGCACCACTGACAGAGGCAACGCTGGGGGGGGAGTGAAGATCTCTCCTGACGACCCTCATACGCATGTGCTAAACAGAAGGAGGATATTCAAAGCAGCTCTTGGAACACTATATAATGCCACCTTTGAAGATCTTCCCCACCGAATTGAAACAGGTGGACCTATGAGACATCACTGGATCTGTGGTGGTAGCTGTACTTCTTGCTATCTTAAACATTTTACTGCTTCACTTTTCCATTTCTTTATCTTTCTTTCTTATCGCTTTTGGGTAGTTATTAGTCAATAAAGGATTTTGCTGTTGTGACATCTGACACTGTCTGTATCTTAATTTCACCTTTGGGATCAAAACGAATCACCTTGACTCTAACCTCTTATCAGGAATAAGCGGGACAAGACACAAGGGATGCTATGCTGGAAGACAAAAATGCCTGTAAATAAGACCCCAGTGGTTGGGGCCCATGTTCTGAGTCAGCAACAACCATCATTCAGTGCTGCCAAGTGGGACGTCATTGGTAAAGTCACCAGAGCCATGGGTTTCAGCAAAGAATGCAGCTGGAGCGTTTCCCCTAGAGTTTGGTATTAAAAATTTCATTTAATTCACCCCTAGATTTCTGGCATTCATTGGTCTACAGGTGTTTATATTGCTAAGAGTTCTGCACTTTTTAACTTCTCTATGGTGGTTTATCATCACTCTTGGAGTGATTAAGGAAAACACATACAGGGCTATGTTAGCAAGAGCACAGCCAGTAGGCTGAGAGAAGAAATTATTTCCCTCTATTTGACAAATCTATGATACAGGATCCAATTTTGGGCCCACAGTGCAAGACAGATGCCAACAAACTCGATAAAGTCCAATGGAGAGCTACTAGGATGATGAGGATGTTGGAGCAACGTGAGAAGTATGGAGAGACAGAAAGCTGGGTTCAGTAGGGAGAAGAGAGCCAAGGTGGGGTCTGATTTCAGTCTCCCATTTTCTAAAGGATATTACCTAGAAGAAGGAGACACATTCTTCTCAGATGTGCACAGGACAGGAACAGGAGGCAACAGCAGTAGTAGGCTGAAGCAAGGAACTGTTGACAAGATATATGGAAAAATTTCTTCCCACCGAAGGCACTTTGTCATTGGAATAGATGCCAAGAGACATCAGGAAATCTCCATCCTTGGAGATGTTCAGAAGTTCCCTGGAAAAGGCCCTGAGCAGTGGGTTGTAGTTTGAGAGTCAACCCAGCTGTGAGCAGGAGAGTGGACTGGAGACATCCAGAGTCTCCTTACCATGTAAATGTTTCTGTGTCATTTTGTTATTCTATGATTAAGGCCATCTTTAGGCTGTTATTAATATTTTTACTTAGTTTGGTTTTGTTTACTTATTTCTTGCCTTAGAAATCTCAATAGCCACCAAGTCTGATGTTGCTGGAAAGACTTGCTTGAATTCTTACAACTATTCAACAGGACTGCTTGGGAGAAGGGAGAAATGCAGTCCGAAAGAAGTTGCATTGACGGTAACAAAACTTTAAGTGGGAACCGGGAGCTAATCACTATGTTAAGAGGAATTAGATTAAGTATCCGACTGTAGCAGATACCAAGTGCTTGTATCAGCTGCAGCTGGTTGGGCTGGCAAGTTGAAGGGGACCATGGCTGCTGGTGCAAGGAGAATACCAAGTTCTCCATCCTGAAATCAAGGCATGTATCACAAAAAGGAAGGCAAGCAAGTTAACTGATCCAAGGAGCAAGCAAAAGCAGTGAGGTGACCTTGCTTCTCCAAAAGGTCACACTCCCCATGCCAAAAGCATGATAGACTGAAGCCTGGAGTCATAATGGGATTGACCTCAAAAGAAATATAAGAATAATTTTATACAATATTTATATGTATTATGTACAATATTAAGTATAATATATTCTGTTAGAGGATAATTATATATGAGATTTAATTAAAATGATCAGAGCACATGAAACTATCAAAGAGTAGATGAAAATTTCAGCACTACATTTAGATGGAGGTGAGGTCAGCATGACTGACAATCTGACAGCTAGACAGATGTACACATGTGCACTTATGACAAATCCAGGTGCAAGAGCAAGGCAGCAGCCGTGTGCACCATCAGAAGAGAAATAGGTGGCAATGGCACAGTCAAACAGTATTTGTGGCCTGCCTCATGCAAAACAAAAAAAAAACCCTTCCCAGCCCCAGGGAGTGTTTGCACGAGCTGTTTTGTGCAAAAACAGTAAAACAAAGGAGCCAGTGCATGTGACTGGAGATCACTTCTAACAAGATGCAGCAGCAGTGACTGAGCAGTCTGCTGGGCTACTCTACAGAATAAAGAAAGGGGCAACAACAAGGCATCTGTATGCATCTTATTCTGAAGAAACATCAATAACTGAGAACTGGTGCAGAGCCCCGAGCAAGATCCACTCCTGAGATGATGGAAGAAACCTCGTCCCCACCATGAACATTTGTGTCACCTGTCCCCATAGGAAGGGTGACACAGCAGGAAAATTCAGCCCCTACTCTAAAGTGGCACCTACAAATTAGTACAGTCAGTCCTGGACTTCAGATATTTTATATTTTTATGAAATCTGAAGGTAATGGAAAAGGTAAGAATTAATGAAATTACTGAGTCACATACCATAATTTGGGTTTGGCTGGGAATCTCTATTTTCCTGTCATATTATGGCTTCAGTTTGGTTTTTTGCTTTCTTGCTACCTGGTTGTTGAGCAAAATCACACAACCAGAGCGCCGTGGGACGGGTGAACTGCTGATCTTGCTCAGTTTGGTAGATGCAGGTTTATACATCTTTGTTTTTCTGTTTCTTCTCCTAGTTTCACATGTTCTGCGTTCCTACTTCATTCACACTAACCTTTGTATTTCTGTGGCAGATCTCCACCATATGATATTTACCACCTACAAGTTACAAGTCAGCGGGGAAAACAGGCTCCCTCAGCTGGCATTTCTTTCATGCGCTTTCTCTCGCTCCCTGTTTACTTCTCATGGGTGACACTTCCTGTTTTCCTCCTGTCTTTAAACCACCTTTTGCAACCCTCCAGGCCAGGTCAAAGGCAATGCTACTCTGGAGTTTACAGATCTCGAGGAGCAAGGCTCTGCTGTGTGAACTGAGCAAGCTGCTCTCGTTAGCGGATGCCTGTAGCAGACCCGCAGCCTCCTTACAGGCAGCCCAGCTGTATCTTATGGTGGTACTCATAAATTAAGTGGTGTCAGGGAATGTCCCCAGGCTCTGGAACACACTCATCAGTGCTGTTAAATTGCTAGAACATTTCCTGACACATTTTTGGCCCAGGACAGCTCTTGCTCTCCTGACCAACTCCAGGGATGCATTTAGGTGTAAGCACAGGCCAGGGACCGCTCCCATTAGGCGACTGGCATGTAGCCAGTTCGTTTTGGAGGTTAAGTGAGTTTAATAGCCCAGACCATCTCATGCCAGTTGGCCTCTGTGCCAGAAACAGCCCAGGCATACTTGATTTATTAGCAAGGCTAGCAACAGAGGAGCAGGGCTCCCTCCCAAGTGAACATTGATTTCCATTTCATTTTAACTTCCCCCTCTTATTAAACTGGTTTAATTTCCTTCTTGACTTATTTTAATAATGCCTGCCTCTCTGAGGGATAGGAGGAGAGCTGAGGTAGTGAGCCGTCTTGCTTTGGGAAATGATGCCTGTAGCTACAAGTCTGGCCAGCACATCTGCTTGGGAGAAGGGCTGGCAGCCCCTAACTCCCTCCAGCACCGAGCCCCAGTGGGCGATGGCTGCAGGGAGCTCTGCCCCAGGCTGTCACTGGCATGACACAGGAGGAAACTGCAATTAAAACAAAAATAATTTTAAAAAAAAACAAACAAAAGACTTGGCAACCGCTGCTGATGCAGAGTAGGCCATCTCCCTATCTCAGTGTGTTCCTGTTCCTCTTTCATGCAGTGTGGTTTTCTTGTTTTCTTCTCTCGCTCTTGCTTGTGGCTATGCTTTTGATCTGGCAGCATCCCGCTCTGCCAGGGTGGTGGTGGTGGTGCCTCCGTGCCACCCGTCCTCACAGGGGCTCCGCACCCCAGCCCCTGCCGCTGCACTGCGCTTCCCTTTGCCGCGGCTGACGAGGGATGCAGCTGCCCCTGGTCCCTGCACAGCAGCTGGACCTGGCTTTGGGGCTCTGGGTTACAGAGGGTCATTTCTCTTTTTCTCAGTTTAAACATTTGAAGCAAAGCTGGTGTGGGTCTTTTAACGAGCAACAGTTTCTTTAAAATTACTTATTAACATTAAAGCAAATGTATGCGAGCAACCGGCAGGGTAAGAGACCAAATGCAGCCAAAATCGACAACAGAGAGCAAAGAGACGATAGCAGTGAACGTCATTTCACGGGCCTCACTGTCCCCCCCGCCAGACTGGCCTCCCTTGCCTCGATTTCCCCTTGATGGCCTCTGGCCGTTCATCTGAGAGCAGCCACCACCCTTCGGAGCTGCTGCCACAGGGAGGTACCGAGGTTGGCTCTCTGGGACCAGGCAGGTGAAAACTGCTGATCTCTCACCCAAAAATAAAA